ATGGGTGTGTGGAGGCAGCAACCCCAAGTGTTAAATACGCACATGAAGAATTACTATGCTCCAGGAAAGATGCTCACATAAGGGATACAGATGCAGCGTCCTCTGATGGGATTCAGAGCAGAGACTAAAAGAGCCATCGCAAAGCTGCATCCTAGAGCTCAGCCCGGCTTGTGTAGAGCCAAGGCATAAATTCACCGAAGCAGAAGGCAGATGTTGAATTCCTGGAACCAAAGGATTTCCACCTCATCAGGGGTCTGTCCAGTGGAGGGAGCACCATTCAGCAACCCTTAGACTGTGGGCTCTGCCTATGCCTGGTGAAGACAATGCCTGTTTTTCACTATTGCTTAAGAAACTGCAATTCAAAGTCATTTTCTACTGGAGAAAGGATATAGGAAGTAGAGTACCAAAACCTCCTGCAGGGTCACGTGGGAAGATCAAGAGAATTCTATACGACTAAGTGGGTGTTGATGCCCTGGTGGTTTCAAGAGGCTGAGAAAACAGTGCATAGTTTTGGGATGTTTATCTCTGTGGTCCTATGGCAGTCCTATGCTGAGGATTAATGTGGTTTTATACATGAAGAAGATACAGAACAGGGGTTTCTGCTTACTGACAGGTTGCTAGGTATTTCCACACTGAACATTCAGCAGAGAGCAGGGTTTTTTTTTGTCTATTATAGGCCATTTCCCGTATTGGGCATCTCTGGGTATAGGTTTCCACATTCTTTAACACACTGGTTTTTAAGGTAGGCTAATGGCAAAGTGTTGAGGCCAAGCCCTGTAAGTTCACCTCCCAGGAGAAGAAGTGATTTCAAACCGATCCAATCAGCCTAGATGAGGGGCCTAATGTGGGGCTTCCTGCCCGGTGTCCTCTAGCCAGGTACACGAGACTGGCCTCTTACCCCTGGGGAAGCCAACTCTGGTTCCCTTGGGTGACTTATCTTCTCCACATTCCTGGTAAGAGGCTTAGGGAGCACTGGCTTAGGGGGTTGCCACAGGCCTGGAGCCCGCTTGCTCTGTGTTTGAATTCTGATGGCCACTGTTGTTTTCCAAAGATGAGAATCATTTGTTTAAGATAATTTTAGGTGACCTTCATTGAACCTTGCTTAACTTACTTTCAATACTTTTAAATAGGTCACATAGAGAGTCCCAGTCTGGTGCAGGACTCGAATGCCTCTGTAACGGTGGCTAGCCTCTCTTTTTTAACAAAGAGAGAATGAATCTCAGCTCCAACTGGTGTAGGCAAGCAACGACACCACGCTTGAATTCATTAGCATTGTTTTTCTTTCGTCTTCGTTTGTATGCTTGACTTCTAGTGCAAGTAATACTCATTTTTCATTGAGGTTAGGATATGAAGTTTAGAAGTGAATCAGGTGACTAAGGAGCACACAATACCCTGGTGGGAAACAAAGATGAAAAAAAAAAAAAAGCCTGAGGAGATGGGAATGAGAGCGATTTGGGAAACACTGTATTTGCCCAAGGTCATATTTCTTGGGCACATGGTCATAGGATGTAATAAAGAGGGCAGGCAGCCGAGGGAGGCATTAGGCTGGTCTTGGAACAACGTACAAGGAGGGCAAAGTCAGTTGGTGCAAATTCAGCCCCGTTTGGGTTCCCGCTGCCCAGCTGCGGTGTGGCTGGGGCGCCGGATGCCGGAGTAGGGGGCATGAACAAGGCTGGCAGGGGACATGCAGCAGGGAAGAGAGGGGAAAGTGCTTCAAGGTGGAATCAGGCAGGCAACCAGAGCAGATGAAGAGGATAAAGAGAACATTCGAAGGGCGCAAGGGGAGTTGGGGGAGAGTGGCCGAGCTGGCTGGGCAGTGGAGCTCTCTCAACAAAGACGGGCTGTTCAGACACGAAGAGAATAGTCTTTGGGGGGTAACTGGGTTCTGTCTCTGCTCTGTCCCTTGCAACTATTTGCCTCCAAATAACACTTAACATCACTGAGTGCTGGTTTTCTCATCCTCTGCAAGATGGGGTCGGAGAACCCATGTCTTCTCAATTCGGTAATGCCGGCTCCTGTTACCGAGTCCGGTGCTGCAGCCTATCGTCCCTGCCCTTGTGCAAGCTGCAAATCATACAGGCCTGCTGAGTGAGCGACAGCGGCAGCTCGACACTGCCTCTGCCTGAGACTGACTCACTGCTGAGGGTGTAAATGGAGAGACACTGGAGAGGCCAAGTTTATCTGAAGTTTAAATAAACAATAAATAATTCTTCAGGTCTAGGTATATTCAAATATTGTGTGACAGCCCTATATTTATTTACTTAGATTTTATTTATTAGAGAGACAGAGAGCATGAGTGGGGTGAGGGGCAGAGGGAGAAGCAGGTTCTCACTGTGCAGGGAGCCTGATGTGGGGTCCAATCCCAGGACTCTGGGATCATGACCTGAGCCAAAGGCAGGCACTTAACTGACTGAGCCACCCAGGCGCCCCAGGACAGCTGTATTTATTTGATGAAATTTTAGAAGTACTGTAAACCCCTAACACTGTATAAACATTTTGTGTAGATGAATTTTGAAAAGGAAGGAGAGAGCAGTGTCGAAAAACCAGGAAGACCAACTTATTGATCATGTTTCCAGGAATGAATGTTCCTTTTCCCCTTTGTCTCTAAAGGGAAGTATATATAGTCCCTTTAAAGATTTATTGACTGATTTTTAGAGAGGGAAAGGGGCTGAGAGAGAGAGGGACAGAGAGTCCCAAACAAACTCCTCCCTGAGTACTGAGCCCGACAAAGGGCTGACCTGAGACAAGGACCTGAGCCGAAACCAAGGTTCAGACACTTAACTGACTTAACTGACTGTACTATAGTAGTCCCTTTATCCTACAGGAAATGAGGATGCTCTTGGTGAAATCCTAGAACCCTATGTCTAAGTCCCTAGCCTCCGAGGTACTAGCTGTGCGATCTGGCAACCCACGTCATCCCTCCTTTCCTCCATTCCCACATTTGACTGCTGAGAACATTGACGGTGATTCGTTTGGTCTATAACCAAAGACCGGTAAAGACAGGTCTTAATGTTAATAATCTAAAAACCCACAGGCACTATGGCAACAGTTTGTACAGGAAGTTAGGATGACTATCTTTCTGGCAAGATTTACAAGGCAGGTTGATTCACCTGGAGGATAGGAGATTTGGGGCCTCAAGGCAGGACAGAAGCAAAAACTGAGAAAGCAAAGCATACAGGAAACTAGGGTACTAAGTTTAAATCCTCTTAAAACATCTAGAAAATGCATCCTAATGCAGAATTCTATATTTCAGCAAGCCTCAGGAAAAGCCTAGAGTTTTCTCGCCTCTATCTGAAAGTACCCATTATGTAAGAAACCCAGGGTTGGGGGGCAAGGAGCCTTATAAGTTGAGTCTGAAGAACAGTGATTCCATTTGAATGGGACATTCCAATAGGAAACACTGGCTTTCATGAGAGGAGTAGAAAGAGGTCTGAGGCTATGCCTATGGGTCTTTGTTCTTTAGGCAGACTAGCTTGATCCAGAGCAATTAAGGAGGGAGGGAGTAAGGAATAAATGAGAAGGTGAACAGTGAAAAAGGTTCAGAATAAATGATCAAAGACAGCTTCTGCTAGCACTACACTGTATCCCTTCAGGCAACTGGATACAGAACGGACAAACCAATGACATCCTCCGATTTCATTCTCCAGCGAAATAAGCATTCTAGAATGCAAGTGCCTGAATGCTATGACATCCTCAAACAATAATGGGTGAAAGGCCATTGATAGTGGGTCTTTAAGTAATTAGGATACTTTAAAAAGGAGGGTGGGGAGAAAATGCCCAAGAAATGCATGTATATTAAAAACTATCTAAAAAAGATGTCTATTTCAAAGTGAAAACAGAATACTATGAAGGTGTTTCCTACCTAAAAATCATGATCACTAAGTGGTGGATACAATTTTATATAATTTAATTGCTACCAATATTCACCAATTGTGTTTTTAATTTGTGTCTAATCTACTTTAGCAGCTTATAATGTAAACACAAGACTGCATGAAGCAGCCTATTTCAAAAAGAAACTATTCAGGGGAAAAGTGCTTAATCCAAGGTCCATGGAAGGAGGTTTATTAACAGGGCTGACAGATAAAATGCAGGCTACGTGGTACATTTTAGCCTAGGGATGCCCCGATATTTCATGGCAACCCCATTTATTAGTGTATTTCAGAAGATCCATGAGGCCCTGGACAACACATAAAAATTTGGTGTATATACGTATTTTGAAGGAGACTGGCTATCGCCTTCTACCAGAATCTTAAATCTGTGATCTCCCAACAGTTAAACATTCAGTAATGCAAAGAAATAATTCTATCATGTCTGACCTTTCCCTGTGACCTTGAGCTTCCCAGCAGCCAAAACTAAAGGGAAACATAAAACCAGGGTGTCTGGGTGGCTCCATCTGTTGAGCATCTAACTCTTGATTTGGGCTCAGGTCACAATCCCAGGGTGGTGAGATCGCGCCTTGTGTCAGGCTCAGTTGCAGAGTCTGCTTGAGATTCTCTCTGCCCCTCCCCTCTCCTCTCTAAAATAAATAAATAAATCTTAAAAAAAAAAAAAAAAGACCATTTAGCTGAGGAGAAGAGATCCAAGTGGAAGAAAGATCTAGTCAGGAGGTTGTGAGCTGGCTTACAGCACTGTGAAGCCTAAGGAGGGAATCTGAGACGTGAGCTCTCTAAGGGTTTGGGCTTTTTAAATGATCAGGTTTGCACTGCAAACTCTTTTGGCCTGCTTGGTGAGGTTGGTTTGGAGAAGGGCAGGACAGTGACTTGAGGTAGACTGGAAGGAAGGCAGCAGACAGGAGAGTCCCCCGTAGAAGGTGGCAGGCAGGCAGGGAGGCAAAGGAAACCCAGAGGTAGGAATCCATGCCTCGAGGGTCAGGGTTTTCTCCACTCTGGCTTTCATGTCTTTGAACCCTCCTGCGCCTGCTTGTCTGTACCCATCCTGGGCAGGGAGCCTCCTTCTAGGGCCCCATGGAGGGTGTGAGTGATGAAATGCCCGGTGTTTACCTGCACAGTCACTGAAAGTAGGCCCGCAGGGTTGCGGCTTCTGCTGCCATTTCCTCCTCGGACCTCCACAAGGTTGGGGCGTCCTCCTCTTCCTTGTCATGTTTCTGGAGCTTTGGAGGAAACAATGGAATCAGCTCATGAATGGGTCCTCAGGAACTCAGAACAAGTGTTGTGGGCTGAACACAATTGTGCACATCAGAGGCTGGAAGGTTGTGTGTCTTTTCATTGCACTAGTTGCCCACATTTGAAAATAGGGAAGTAAGAATCCTCATTTCCAGCTTTTGTGATCAAATAACCAGATTAGGCTAGCCTGTGGTCCCTTCCATGCCTTGTCTTATCTGAGGAGGTGGTGAGTGGGGGTCACAGAGGGGAGCACCCTCCCATGTTCCATAACCCCCACCACTCTCTAGTCTTAGGCTCAGCTGGCATCGCTCATTTATTTTACTCACTGACATTGAAGACAGGGAGTTGGCCCCCTACCCATGATCATTCCCCTAAGCTGGCCTGCAGTTTACCTACTAGACATTTTGTTCAGTGAACCAAACCAGCCCAAGCAAATCATGATAATATTACAAGAGCCATGAGTACTGAGTGAGAAATAAGAGCATATTCATTAAAAGAGCCTTAGGGAGGCAAACAGCTTAAAAAAAAAAAAAAAAAAAGAAAACATCAAAAAATTAACAATTGATCTAACTCAATTAAATCATTTTAAAATCCTCTTCAAACACCTGCATTTATTTTTTAAGACACCTTGTATATGTCTCAGATTTACAGAGAAAGTAAATAAAATTTCAATTCTATCAGAAGATGTTCTCAGAACTTTTCATTGGAAGAGCTCAATTTCTCCCCTTCATCTCCTATTGCAATTCAGTTTTATTAACTAGATTTGTTATTCCTGTGTGGGGCTTTATCCGTTGTAAAATGCTAAAGGTAAATTCCTAGGATGCACGGTGTAGTATTTTGTAAGTCATTTGAAGAGATTGAGGTAAATGATTTAACAGCACCAATGATGGCTGGTATTTATGATATGAACGGGTAGTTTCTTTGATGTGTATCATTTCATTTAATCTGTACCATCATCTATACATAAGGCAGGGACTACTTAGCTCCATTTTACCAAGGAAGAAATGGAGATCCGAGGAAGTTCCTTCGCTTGTTGAACTTCTCACCCAGCTAGGCAGTGATGGAGTTGTTCACTATAATTTTCGCGATTTTCTCTATCCCAGAGGAACTGCCAGGCCACCAAAGAGTGGCCAGCTCCGCCTGCCAGGTGCATACCCCCACAAAAGGCAGATCCTTTGAAAAGTATCTTGCTGCCTCAGCAAAAAGTCTCTCCACTGCCATAATGGAATTTCCTATCTCAGGCCCAAATCACTGTAAATCTAACGCAGAGACACCCCATACCCCCTCTTCCCCACCCTGAACCATGTGGCCCCTTGCAGCAGATGGGGAAATTTCCCCGTAGTTCAGAGCAAACTTTGCTGCACAAAGGAAAACAGTGAAGGAATGATAGCCCAGCTCTCCAGCTGAGCTGTATTTCCACTTGGGGTAAGTCTGAGCCTAAATGAGGTTCATTAGCATATGACTGGGCCACAAGTATGTTGATGAGAGTCAAGGATCTTCCATTCAGAATATGGCTGCCAGCACTCTAGTTTTACATTTTGCCACATAGATTTAATTCTCCTTAGTGGAAGAAAACCACATTAAGAAGTCATTTCCTTCCTTGCAGAGGCAGATATGATGCAATTGCTACGGGCGAGGCAAATGGGATTGCTATTTTTCTACTCGAGAACTAATTTTCATTTTGATACTAGCTTTAGGTCTGTTATAAATCCCTCTTGTAACAATCCAATAGGATGACAAAGAACAATATATACAGCCTGGAAAATATGGCCTCCCCACTTCTGGTGCTGCCATCGAAAAGACCCAGAAATCAAACATTAAGTGGCTTCATCACCACAGATCATACCAGATGAATCCAAATAATTTAGAGTCTGTGAGCGCTAATGCCTCCCTGGTTATTAGGCGACCGTCTGTTTTTGTCATATGCCTTACAGATGGCAACGTTGTGCCGACACTTCCAAGTTGTTTATGCGAGGTAGGGAATAAATAAAACAAAAACTAATCATATTTGCAAAGCTCTGTTGTATATGGCTTTTAAAACTTAGAGGTTTCCCTCCGAAAACTCCCAGATGGAAGCGTGGGGCTTTCTTTAGGACAGCCGTGTTCAGTGCTAGCTGCCCGCTGGCATCCCCTGGCGAACTCAAGAAACTGCTATTGCCCGGGTGCACACAGGGGATCTGCTTTAATTTGTCTGGACAAGGCCCGAGTTTGGGGATTTTTTTTTTTTTTTCCAACTTCTCAGCTCATTCTAAGGTGCACTTACTGTTGAGAAGCCCCGCCCTTGGGAGAAACGTGTATGTGGACAGACAGAACCCATGTACCTGAGAAATAATACATCTGCCTTCGAGCCCAGTGCTTTTTGTCCTGTCCACAGAGTAGAGGCTTTCCTTGGAAACCCTGCTCCGGAACTGTTTTGCTTCTATTCTCATTCTGTCAAAAAGTGTCTGGGCCACAGGGCTTGTCCCAGCAACACTAGGATGCTGATCTGGTTCAGGAGACTTTGAGTAAGTTTTCAGTCTCAGCAGAAATAGGGAGCCCAGGAAAGATCCTGGTGAATAAGACTTGTGCCTCAGAAGAGCCACCCAGGTGACCTGGAAATTAAACATGCTGTAGTTTGGAGTGAATTTCTGTTTCCCTGAGGCAACCCAAGAACCTGGACGGTACAAGCGTTGCAGACCTGCAGAGATCAACTCTAATTACCTCCAATGGCTGTTCATCCAGAAGGTACTAAATGCCTTGAGGAAGCTTTAATGCCGGGGGGGGGGGGGGGGGGGGGGGGGCGTTCAATTCAGATGAACCCTCCAGATTAATTTAGGCTGCCCACGGGGAAAGGCAGTGACTACTTCTTCATGCACACAGTATTTATTCTGTGTCTGTAATGCTAGGGGCTGACCTTGGCATTAGAACACTGAAACAGACCCCGTTACTGTCTTCAGGGGGCCCCCAGATAGGGAGAATAGACACCAAATGGTTAATTATCAATGTGAGGGGCATTTCCAAGTGGGAGGACTGTTGCTGGGAAGGCACGGCCCAGTCTGAAAGGCTTTTGAGAGTCAGCTGAGTTTGAAAAAGAAACAGAGTACTATAATAAAGAGTGATGGGGGTTCTAAGGAACATCCAGCAACTTCTCTCCAAGAAGATGAGGTTAGGCCCAGACATTGACAATGAGAGGGGCAAGCTCCTTAACCTCTTTGTGCCTCAGTTTTACCCTCTGTAAAAGGGAGCAGTAAGAGTTGTGAGCAGTGATGTGCTGGGCACATAGTAGTAGTCACAGCAACAGCAAACAACTATTCTTAGGCTACGTACGCTGTCCCATGACAGTGATCACTGACCAACGCAGAGACCTTATGGCCAAGAGCAAAAGTGTTTTTCCTATCTTCATGGTTCCCCAGTGATATGTGTCTTTTCGACCTTCAATATCCTGTAAAAGGATTAAGAGCTATGGTCAAAATTCAGGCCCATACCAAAGAACCTACTGACACATTTAAACCTGAGGAGGAAATTTAGCTCCTTCAGATCTAAAATATCTTAGAATAATCCCTAACTCTCAGGGTTGTCGTAAGGAATGGATAAGGTATTAATGGAGGCTCCTCAGAGGCAAAGGTCATGGTCCTAGAGTAAAAAGCATGTGGTAATGGTCAAATGAAGTCAAATCACCTTGGGGGCAGGCCCCAGAGTCAGCGAAAAAAAAAAAAAAAAATACTAAAACAAATGAAATGAGTGTCCTGTATATCTCATCCAGTATTTGGGACATACTGTTACTGGTAAGTATTATTTGTTTATCTGAAATTCAGACTTAACTAGACTTCTTCCTGTATTTTATCTAGTAACTTGGTCCAGGAGACCCCTTTGAAAAAGACCACAGGAAGTACTTGGCTCACTTTTAGGTTGTTCCTAAACCTGCCGAGCTGTGAATCCTGGAAAAGATGCAAGCTATCCAAAGGACGAACAAACTCAAGGCGAGCATTGGGTGCACTCTAAGGCTTATTAGTGCAAGAAACGAAGAGTAAATCACCAGCTCCCTTTAAATCTCATAGCTCTTTGGTTCTCAGGCATGCACCTTTTCACATTTTCACATCTCTGAAATCAAAGTGTGTTCCACAATCAATGGTGTGTCATCATTTTATTGGCAGTGTTTTTCTCTGTTAGTAGTACATCAAAGAACAGTGCTCCTTCCAGGTGACTGTCTGGGATTCAACACACTACAGTGCTCTGTCTTTCCTCCTGATAATTACATCACGTAAGTTAAATGGCCATGAAAATGCTTAGCACCCCAGCACGTCGCTCTCCTTCTCTCCATGCAACAAGGAAATTGTTGAACAGATGACATTGTTTTCACAGGCACTTGGTTCTTTAGAGGAAAAGTGCTCACCTAAGTTACAAAGTTTGCAAAAATTTGAACCAAAAAGTCTTTATTCACATTCAACAGAGTGAAGTCTGTGATGGCTCCTGGAAGAGCATTCTATTTCTATATAGCTGTGAAAAGAGATTTAAAAAAATGTATCTGCAGTCATTCCACTTTATCTGCCTGAAATGGTTTTGGGGAAGGTAGTGTTAACAGGATTTCTGACTGAAGTACTGATAGGCATCAATGGTGACATTCCGCTCCTTCCCGGGTATTGAGCATGCTATCGGGAGGTATGTGGGGTAAAGATTAATTCCCTGATGTAATGCTCAAACTGCCTTGGCTATTGACTTTTTTTATAGCTCTGTAATGGAATACAGTGGGAAGAATGATGCACCATAATTTAAATGTTTTTCAGAACTCAGAACTAACCTGTAGTAAAATGCAAAATTGTCTTCAGTGGGTAGGGTATGAGGGGAGAAACAATTTAATACCACTTCTTAAAGAAGCAAGTGGCTGCATATAAACTTGGGTGTTGTTATAAAGTACATTAATATATTTCATTGTTATTAGTTTTGTAAAACAACATAAAGAGCAGAAAGCTTCAACTATTTCTTATGGGTTGATGGCTCTGTTCAGACA